GATTTGCCCTAGCTCACCTCCTTATGGTGCACCCTTATTTGTACCCAAAAGGAAGGTGAACTTCACCTATGTATAGATTATCGTGGGCTGAACTCCGTCACTGTCAAAAACGTGGAGCCACTTTCGCGCATTGACGATATGTTGGATCAGTTGCAGGGATGCAGGTACTTTAGCAAGATTGATCTCAAGTCAGGGTACCACCAAATCGAGGTGGCTCTTGAGGATCAACACAAGATGACATTCCGAACCAGGTATGGTCATTACGAGTTCGTGGTTATGCCTTTCGGTTTGACCAATGCGCTTGCGACCTTCCAAAGGTCTATGAACGAATTGTTCCGTCAATGGCTTGATCAATTCGTAGCAGTCTACCTCGATGACATTCTAGTGTATAGTAAGACACTAGAAGATCACAAGAAACACCTACGAATGGTCTTGCAGAAGTTGCGCGAGGGCAATTTCAAACTGAATCCGAAGAAGTCTAAGTTTGCTAAGCCTGAAGTCTTGTACTTAGGGCATATAGTGAACGAGAAAGGACTAAGGCCTAAAGAAAAGAAGATTACAACAATCAGAGATTGGTCACAACCTAAGACTATAACTGAACTAAGATATTTTCTAGGACTTGCTAGCTACTATAGGAAGTTCGTCAGAAACTTCTCCTTGATAGCTGCTCCTATGAGAAGATTACTGAAAAAGGAAAAACCTTGGTTGTGGGACAAAATTGTGAGTCTTCGTTTAAAAAGGTAAAGCATGTTCTGACTCACTACCCTGTCCTAAAGATTGTCGACCCTTCTCTTTTTTTCATCGTCACGACTGACGCAAGTCAGTATGGAATTGGGGTTGTGCTACAGCAGGATGACAGTAAGGGATATAAAGCTATTGAGTTTATGTCCATACGACTTCCGTCAAAGAAAGTGGCCAACTCCACATATGAAAGGGAATTGTATGCCTTAGTTGTTGCGCTAGATACCTGGAAACACTACCTGTTAGGGAGACATTTCACTGTCTATTCTGATCACTTTATGTTGAAGTGGATCAAGACTCAGCCTAGACTCTGTGACAAGTTGGTAAGATGGCCCGCTTTCCTGGATAAGTTTGACTTTGAGGTGAAAACCATCAAACGTGGTTGTGGATGCTTTATCCAGGCGTGCAAATTTCTTTGGAACCATTGTCACCTATCTCGATATCGGGAACGAACTAAAAGAACAAATTCACAAAGGTTATGGGAGTGATCCTATTTGGAGTCCCATCATTGAGACTCTACGGAAGAACCCTGAATTGTTCCCGGTTATATCAAATGACTGATGGCTTACTCTTCTTTATGGATAAAATCGAAGAAAGATTGTGTATTCCTCATCTAGAACAGATCAAAAGTGTAATCATTGGGGAGTGTCGTGATGTGGAAGGTCACTTTGGTTTTAAGAAGACGTATGCCGATGTGCGTGAACGTTTTGAAGGGAAAGGAATGATGGAAGATGTACTAACCTATGTGCGAACTTGTCTTATCTGTCAGAGGAACAAACCCTCACATGAGAATCCGATGGGACTACTGAGACCGCTGCCTATATTCCAAGTGAGTCAGGTGAGTCTATTTCCATTGACTTTATGAGCCTCACTAAGAGTAGAAATGGCAACAGTCAGGTAATGGTCATCGTGGATAGATTCTCAAAGTATGCTATGTTCATTCCTTTGCCAGCTGAAGCTAGAACCGAACTAGTCATTCAAAAGTTTCAGATGCGATGGGTCTCTGAATATGGATTTCCGAAAACCATCGTCTCTGATAGAGATGTTCGGTTCAGTAGTCTACAATGGCAGAAGTTGGTGGAAGTCTATGGGACTAGGTTGACCATGTCGTCAGGCAGACATCCTGAAACGAATGGCCAAACTAAGCAAATGAACCGTCTTTGCCAACAACTTTTGCAAATGTATGTCCGACCTGATCAGATAGATTGGGATGAGAACTTGCCTAAAATTGATAGTGCCTACAATAACAGTATACATACTGTTACAGGTAGAACGCCTAACACACTGCATAAAGGATGGAAGCCTAGGCGTCCCATTGACACATTAACAAGGGACCAGGTTCAGAGGCTACCCCCAGGTACGCGTTAATTCGCAGTTTTATATGAAGAAGACATCAAAAGGGTTAAGGAAAACGTACAGAAGGCCCAACTACAGCCTTCACAATTCCAAGAAGGGGATTTTGTTTGGGTTAAGTCTAAAGAGTTTTCCTTAGAGGAAAATGTGTCTAAAAAATTGCTACCTATCTACTACGGACCCTAGGAAGTTCTCAAAGTAATTGGAGGTGAAGATGGACCTTCCTACCGCATAGATGTACCTCCACACCTAAGGACATACCCTGTCTTCCATGCGTCTAAGCTGCTACCTTATGTAGAAAGTGATAACTTTCCGAATCGGTCGTCTATGTTTCCACCCTCTATGAATGGAGGCTATGAAGTTGAAAGAATATTGGAACATGGCTATTTCTCTACAGGTGGCAGAGGACGACCTCAGAAGCAGTACAAGGTAATGTTCAAGTCCCAACCTCCATCTGAAGCCAGATGGTTTAGTAGGAAAGAACTCCTACATATGGTGGCAGAGGACGACCTCAGAAGCAGTACAAGGTAACGTTCAAGTCCCAACCTCCATCAGGTGGCAGAGGACGACCTCAGAAGCAGTACAATATAACGTTCAAGTCCCAACCTTATCTGAAGCGTGATATTGTCGCTACATATGAACGTGGGTTAACTGAAAATTAACGTATTTTTTGCGACGGAACTCGGAAACTGGGCTGGCAAGAATGCAATAACCCATGTCATATGTCTCGTAGAATGTTTGAGGGCCTACTTGGTTGCCCTCAGCCCATGCCGAAATGGGGGAAAAAGACCCCACACGGAAATTCAGTGCCTGGACATGAGACAATTGACTTTTGTCAACTGTCGTGACACCAACAAAGGTGCCCAGTCCAGGCCATCGGTCAAGCACACACACTTGTTTGTATGTAGGTACCCAGACAACATCAGGTCCAAGGGGAAGTCTGCAACTGTAAACAATCGGGGCCCTCAGTTGTGAGGCAATCTGGACGACTGAGGGAACAGGACTTGAGGCCAAACAGCCTCGTCAAATGCTACTTAAGACCTGGCCTCGAGGTGGTCAGCACTCAGTCTTGCTATGCTGCTTGGACGTTGGCTTGACTTTGACCAGACGCTGGCGAGACGCTGGCTGAGCGCAGGCACTGTGGACGACGACGACAACATGTTGGCACTTTCTGCGTTGTGCGCCAGGCATGCTGATGTGGCGCTGCCTATGGTCTACATTGCAGGCTGATGTGGCGCTACTTCTGGTCTACATTGTATGCTGATTTCGCGCTGCTTCTGGTCTACATTGCATGCTGATGTGGCGCTACTTCTTGTCTACATTGCATGCTGATGTGGCGCTGCCTCTGGTCTATATTGCATATTGATGTGGCGCTGCTACTAGTCTATATTGCTGATGTGGCGTATTCACCTGTCTCGACTGCTGACGTGGCATTGTCCACGCTGTCTACATGAGGTGATTGGTTGCGAGGAGGAGGAAGATCGGGATCTGTGGATGAAGGAGATCGGGTACTCACCTGAGGTTGACATCGTCATTGGACACTGTTGTGTCTTCATGGTCTTCACGAGATAAAAGTGCCACGTGGCACTATTTCGTGTGATCAGGATTACTATACTTGTTATCATCTACTCGTTGTTGACGAGGAGAGAGAAGAAGCCCGGAGAAGGAGAGGGGAAGGGATTACTATGTGTGATCTCTGATCATCTCTTCTACCTTTGTCATTTCCCCCTCCACTCTCTTCGTCTAGTGGTAATGAGATACTGTTTGAGATATCACTTCACGATTTGGAGACTTTGTTGCAGATATTGAGACTACTGAAGTTTGATGACTGCTGAGTATCTGTCAGACTGGATTCATGACACCTGGAATGGAAAGTGCTTGCCTACCTGCGTTTCCCTCTCAACCAGCCCATTGTCATCTTTCCCGGTTTGGTAAGTGCCACGTTAGGAGCAGTGCCACGTCAACAGTGTCACATCAGCAGCAGTGCCACGTCACCGTGAGGGCTTCAGTTTTGGGCTTGCCAGGCCAACTCGCCGGCGAGTCTATTGCTGATTTCCACAAGCGGATCCAAGATCAACTCGCTCAAATCGAGGCTGAGGAACAACTTCAAGCGGAAGTCGAGGCTGCCCGCCTACAGGCTGAAGCAGCGGCAGCAGCTGAAAAACAGAGGCTTTAGGCCGCAGCTTACGCAGATGCCCAGGCCCACCGCAAATAGGCCCGAGACCTGCTGCAGAGGCACCAGGCCGCCAATGTCGACAAGCTCAAGTTTTGGCACTTTGAACCATCCGAGGGTCATGACGACGCAACACCGGAAGAACAACACAAGGAGTTCCTCTCCAAGCTTGTGACCCAGTTGGTTTGCACCTATAATCGACTGCAGTTCGAGTTAGAGAAACAACACCAGGAACTAGAGAATCTCCGACAGGCAGTGCGGCACCACAAGGATCTGCATGAGGATGCGACATGGGCACTTCATACCCGTGTACAGGACTTGGAGCAAACAGCACCAAGACCCGATGCTGGCGAACCCAGCAATGCAGCCTTAGCCCGCCAGTTGGAGCAACGACTCGACCACATACTTGCTCGGCAACATCAACACTTTAGCCGCACCAGCCACCATCAGCAAGCAGCTCGGCACCTTGAAGACCGAGATTCGGCAGCTACAACAGCCGCCCGCCCCTGATGGCAGCACTGGTGCGCCACGCGAGTACAAGATGTTGTCGTTCCGGATCGAGAAGTTTGATGACTATACGCATCAGGACCCAGTCATCTGGTGGCAGGTCTTTACGACGGAGGTTCGGATTCATCGGGTCCCCGACTACTTGTACGTCTCGGCGTTGTTCCTCAATGCCACGGGTGGATGCCAGATCTGACTCAACCATATGGCAAACATCCACGACGTCCAGGTCGTCGACCTTCATCAAAAGATATTGTGGGAAGATTTGATGAAGGAATGGACGAAGCGGTTCATCGTTGACGACGCCCCGACGGTCGCCATCAACCACCTCTTCACCATGACTCAAGGCAACACACTGACACGCGACTGGCTCACAGAATGGCAAAACATCGTGGCAACACCCAATCTTGACTTGCCATTTTTACATCTGCGCCGCGAGTTCTACAACCGGTCGTGTCCCGCCTCGAGCTTCGCTCTCGGTGATCGTGAAAAATGCACGACCTTCGCCGAAATCATCAACAAGGCTTGTGAGATCATCAAGACCAACCGGGTTGCCGCACACGAGAAATCCAGGTCACAGCCCGCCTACGTGGAGAAAGGGAAATTTGGTCCGCATCCGCAGCTAGTCGCTGCTGTCCAACCGGACAACCTTGTGGAAGACTCCGCAGCCACCCCAGGCTCGTGAGATCATCAAGACCAACCGGGTTGCCGCACACGAGAAATCCAGGTCACAGCCCGCCTATGTGGAGAAAGGGAAATTTGGTCCGCATCCGCAGCTAGTCGCTGCAGTCCAACCGGACAACCTTGTGGAAGACTCCGCAGCCACCCCAGCATCACGTGAGGGAGATCAAGTGGCCGCCATCCAGCCACGAAGCAACAACAAATCCCGTGGAAAAGGGAAGGCGAAAGCCGCATCGCCGGTCAGAAACGGGCAGCCACTACCATGGGTCAAGTTTAGCTTGACCGAGGCCGAATATAAGTGGCACAGCCGGTATGGCTGCTGCTATTGGTGCAACAACACCAAGCACACGACCTCCCAATGCCAAGATCAAAGCAAAGAGGATGTTCGAACTCGAACCAACTCTGGAAACTGAGCCTCGCGAGAGGTGAGGCAACTCCATCTCTCACTCCGCCAGATTCAGCCGCCTTGCTAGCGGCCTCCTACACATCTGGGAGAACGCGGATGTCGCAAGTCCTCGGTACACTTACGAGGATTAAGCTGTCCACTTGGTCCCACCGTTGGACCAGCCACTCCACGTGCAAAACTCCACTGCATGCACAGTTTCATCGCCATCGCAGATTCGCCACCAACTTTCGTCGGGGACTCGATTTCATGGTCAAGACCTGAGGAACTCGACCCGTTGACGATCGCGGACTTCCAATGGATACCCCTTCCCCTGACCGGTCGATTGTCGAAACCGCATTGCAACGCGCTCATGGCACACTGCAGTACCAGCTCCTTTGATGGATGTTGGGGTAGAGGTTGTCGACCTTCGCGACTACCTTGCGAAGATCGACCGCGAGTTCAAGACACAACGGTACGACAACAATGACGTGTCATTGCTGTACATACGCATTCAGATCAGAGGAGCGACCTGCAGCGCTTTGATCGATTGCGGAGCAACTCGCAACTATATGAGCCAAGATTTTATGGTACGCGCTGGCCTTGGGCCACGCGTTCGGAGGAAGCCGCAGCCCGCGCAAGTCACGTTGGCCGACAGTCACACGCAAAGTCAATCGACAGGTGCATTGATTCCGTCCCCGTGTACTTCGCCCCGCATGCAAGCGAGGCTGTGTCCTACAACATTTTGGACAGCAAATTCGACATAATTTTGGGCATGTCGTGGCTGCAAAGCAAGGATCACCTGGTGAACTTTTATCGCCACACCGTTCACATTCGTGATCGGAACAGGCTACTAATCTTGTGCACGGTTCCTCCACCTCACCCTTCGATCAGCGGTCACGTGGTGTCCGTTGCGAGCATTCGAGCTTCCATCACACGGGACGACGTCGAGGAGATGGGATTGTGTTTTCTACACGCCCTCCCTTCCCATGACAACCCATCGCCAAACGCCTCGATGGACCCACGCATCACCAAGTTCTCGACGCTTATGGCGACGTTTTGGAAGCCCCGCACGGAGTCGTACGTGATCGGCCAATCCGCCACGAGATCATTCTCGAGGTCGGGGCCGTACCCCCGCATGGTTGCATCTGCCGCATGAGCAAGGAAGGGTTAAATGTGCTACGAGCACACAACTCGACGACCTTCTTGAGAAAGGCTGGATTCGGCCTAGCTCTTCGCCCTACGGCGCTCCCGTTCTCTTCGTCCGAAAGAAGAACAAGGACTTGCAGTTGTGCATTGACTATTGCAAGCTCAACGCGCAAACCGTCAAGAATGTCGGCCCTCTTTCACGCATCGACGACCTTCTCGAACAGCTGGGCGGCGCTAAATTTTTCTCCAAGCATGACCTCAAATCGGGATATCACCAACTCAATATCCGGGGGGAGGACCGCTACAAGACCGCGTTTAAGACGCGATATGGGCATTTTAAATGGCTGGTTATGCCTTTTAGCCTTACGAATGCCCCGGCCACGTTCCAAGCGGCTATGACAACGGAGTTCCGACACATGCTGGACAGATTCGTACTCATCTACCTCGACGATATCTTGGTGTACAGCCGGAGTTTGGACGAGCATGTGGACCACCTGCGAACCGTCTTGGAGCGTCTTCGACCATTATGTGACGCCGCAAGGCATCCTTCCGCTCACGGACAAGATTGAGGCCATCCGCGTATGGCTCGAGCCCACCAACACCACGAACGTTCGCTTATTCATGGGGTTGGCAGGCTACTACCAACGCTTCATCACCGGGTACTCAAGGATCACTGCACCATTGATGAGACTACAATGGGCAAAGGTGCATTCGTATTCGACGACGAAGCGCGCCGGTCGTTCCAAGCACTCAAGACGACCATACTCATGGCCCTCGTCCTTAGCATCTACGACCCCACCTTGCCAACGAGAGTGACAACCGATGCCTCCGGCTATGGCATTGGGCAGCCTTGGAACAACACGACGGCGACGACTGGCATCCCGTGGAGTACTTCAGCCACAAGATGCCTCCAACCAATTCACTTGATGATGCAAGGAAGAAGGAGCTGCTCTCGTTCGTGATAACTCTCAAGCAATGGTGGCACTTCCTCCTTGGGCGGCGTAGGTTCACATGGGTCACCGATAACAACCCGTTGACCTACCACAAGACGCAACACACGGTGAGCAGCACTATTGGACGATGGATGTACTTCATTGACCAATTTGACTTCACACCGAAACATCTCGCCGACCTCTCTAATCACGCAGCTGATGCACTCTCGCGAAGACCCGATCTTTGCGCCATGACACATCACACCTTCACATTCGACGAGGAACTCCAACGGCATTTCATCCGGGGCTACCAGTCTGATCCTGATTACGCCACACTCTATGCGCAACTATCGTTAGATCACCCGCCGGCCAGCCACTATCGCATCGTCGACGGGTACTTGCATCTCCACTTGCGAGGCAAGGACTTATTATGCGTCCCACGAGATCGTCGTCTGGCGGGGATAACAGCTACCTACCGTTGTCCTTGGTGAAATGACACTTGGGTATTTTGCTTTTCAGATGGATTATTTGATTGCATTTTTCGAACTTCATTATTTTATCTCCATGGATAACGGCTACCTCCGGACTCATCGTCTCGGCCAGGGAACCTCATTACCGACGTCACTCGGTATTGCGACTCTTGGGAAGTTTGCCGATGAAGCAAGCCCTGCAATCGCAATCCCTATAGCGAATTGCGTCTGTTGTCCATCCCGCGGGAACCCGGCCTCTCCATTGCAATGGACATCACCGGCCCGTTTCCCCGCGAGTGCTTCGGGCACAACGACATCCTCACGGGCGTTGTCCGATCAAGCAAGTACGCGCAATTTCTTCCTTGCAAGTATTACGCCACGGCTCCCGAGCTTGCGCGACTCTTGCGCACCGGCTGGATTTGCAGCCACGGCGTCCCGGAAGACATCATCCGCAACAGTGACACTCGCTTCATGTCGGCATTCTGGACTTCTCTCATGAAGGAGTCCGACACTGAAATGAAATCGAGTTCGGCTCGGCATCCACAAACGGACGGGCAAACGGAGCGGGCACATCGAACCACTCAAATGATATTTCGTACGCTCATCCGTCCGGACCAGAAGGATTGGGTTGACCGCCTCCCCGACATCGAGTTCGCCTACAACACTTCGTTGCATTCGACGATCGGTGTGACTCCATTCGATTTGCACCACGGTGGCCGAAAAGGCCGTATCTTCGCTGATTTCCCACTCCCACGGACTACCGACGTTGACGCCCCTTGCTCTCCCGCCTCCGTTCGGAAGTATCGGGACTTGCTGGCTAAAGCCCGCATAAACATGCAAAAGGCTAATGCTCGCATGCAGTAGCAAGCCAATAGGCGTCGCGTGCCATCTCCTATCTGCGCCGGTGACCTTGTTTGGGTCTCGCGGAAGAGTTTGCGCTTGAGCAGGACATCTTGCACAAGCTACTCCCCAAATGGTTTGGACCTTGGACCGTAACATCAGCCGCGGGCGATGAGCCCCACGGCCCCTCATTCGTGGTCGAGATTCCGCCGCATCTACCGGTCCACCTGGTTTTCCACGCCTCAAAGCTGGCTACATATACTCCCAACTAAAAGTGACGATTTCCCGGCCGATGATCGCAAGACCCGCCGTTGATGGATGGTCATCAGGAAGTCGACCGCGTCATCAAAGATCGTAGGTACATCAACAAGCCACGATAGTACAAAGTTACCTTCAAAGCATGCGATCGTGACGACACTCGGTGGATTTCACGAGCAGGTTTGCAAGCATTCGCAACATTGATCTATGCTCGCCACGAAAGACAAAGACTAGCTAAGGAAGCTCCACGACCTGCCCCTCCCACCCGGACTGTGGTCTCTCCCTCCGACAGATAGCTCCACCCTCGCAGGTAAGCTCGGTCTTTCAAGGGCGGGGGGGTGTGCCATACTGAGCACCACACGGGCCCCCGCAGGGCCCGACCAGGCACGACAGGGGTTAGGTAGGAGCCCTTCCGGCCCTGTGTCGGTTCAACTTAGGTAGAGGCCCATCAGGCCTGTGTCGTTTCAGCCTAGGCAGGCCCTGTAGGTCGGTAGGCCGTAGGTAGGCCCTGGTGCCCGTTTTGGCGCCAGACCCGGTATAGGCCCAGTAGGCGCCAGGCCGTTTCAGTCCCTTTTTCAAATTCGGCCTTTTCGAATTTGGGCGCCAACTTTAGGTGCTAGACCGTTTTGGGCACCAGGCCTTGGCGCCGTTCGACATTGGTGAAGGCAGCCTCCCAGCCGGACCAGCACTATATATAGCTGGTCCGCCTAGGAGGCTGGCATTCAGTCTTCGGGCATTTAGCAACGACACTCTCCGGAGACGCTGCAGCAGTAATAGGAGACGCTTGGAGTAGTCTTCCAGCGCTGGGCGCTGCTCGGACCTTAGGGTAGCGCTGAGAAGGAGGAGAGTGACAGAGGCCAGGGATACTTTCCTAGGAGCTTACCTGTGACGCCATCGCTCCAGCTTCATCTTCGGTGTACCTGCAGCAAGGCGCCACCTTTCACAGGTTAGTACCTGACACAAAGAGAAAGAGAGAGAGAGAGACAGAGATACTCCTTCTTCTTCCTCCAGTCACCCATCTCTCCCTTACCCTCTAGTTACCTGACTTCTCAGTATCGGCAGACTACGAGAGAGAGAGAGAGAGAGAGAGAGAGAGAGAGAGAGAGAGAGAGAGAGAGAGAGCTGTCTCTTATACACATCTAGATGTGTATAAGAGACAGGAGAGAGAGAGAGAGATTTGTGACTTTGGACATTTGAATACAGACTCAACATTGGGACAAAAACATTGGTGGGGAGACTATTTGGGATCGATATCAAAGACATAGTGTTGATGGCATCCTCATCCTCCCCTCCTCTTCGTTTGATTCCCCTCCTCCTCATCTGTGTATGATCTGAGCCTGGCGCATTCTTCCTGTGTGTAGCGCCAGGCCGCTTCACACCTTGCGATGATGATGATGTATGTTTGGTCTGCATTGCGACATTGATGTGCTATCCTGTACTATCTGAGAGAGTTCAGTCCTTGTTTCTGGTCTGCACCATATTGGTATGCGACAATTGCATTGAGTTTGTGTAACTTCTGCTCTTAGTGTTTTGGTTTTCTATCTTGTGCTTTGATTGTTTCTTTTTTGAACTTTTTTCTACAGTGGCGTGTTGCGGTGTGGTGCGATGTTGCACTCTGTGGTGTGATATGATGCTTGGTTGTGTTTGTGTTTTGTGATTCTAGCTTTTGAGTTATGCGCTGTGTCCTGTTGTGTTCCCCTGTTCTCTTCCCTTGCCCTGTTCCCTTCCGTGTTTTTCCTTCCCATGATGATTTCCCCCCTTCTTCTTCTTCTTCTTCTTCTTTTTTTTCTTTTTCTTCTTCTTCTTCTTCTTCGTCGTCGTCGTCTTCTTCGTCGTCGTCATCGTCTTCTTCTTCGTTGTCTTTTTCGTCTTCGTCTTCGTCGTCTTCGTCTTCGTCTTCGTCTTCGTCTTCGTCTTCGTCTTCGTCTTCGTCTTCGTCTTCGTCTTCGTCGTCTTCGTCGTCTTCGTCGTCGTCTTCGTCTTCGTCTTCGTCTTCGTCTTCGTCTTCGTCTTCGTCTTCGTCTTCGTCTTCGTCTTCTTCGTCTTCTTCGTCTTCTTCGTCTTCTTCGTCTTCTTCTTTGTCCGCTTCGTCTTCGTCTTCGTCGAATCTTCGTCTTCGTTGAATCTTCTTCTTCGTTTTCTTCTTCTTCGTCTTCTTTGTCTTTTTCTTCGTCTTCGTCTTCGTCTTCGTCTTCGTCGTCGTCGTCGTCGTCTTCGTCGTCATCATCGTCGTCGTCGTCATCGTCGTCGTCATCATCATCGTCGTCGTCGTCGTCGTCATCATCATCGTTGTCATCGTCGTCGTCGTCGTCGTCGTCATCGTCATCGTCGTCATCATCGTCATCGTCGTCATCGTCTTCTTCGGCTCCTTGGTAGGATTTGCCAAGGTAGTGGGTGGGCCCTGGAGATCTTGGATCTCACAGGTGTACCCGCACTTCAGGCATACTGTGAAGGGCTGCGCTTGAAGTTCCGACTTCGGGCTTCGCCCACTAGCGAAAGATGCGGTGCTACGATTGCTTGATCGCTATGTCACGCAGGAGCAGGATGACGCGCAGAAGACGCTTCGATCAGAGGTTGAGGGATTATGGTCGGGGGGGGAGTGATGAGGGCAGTAAGGAAGGAGAGGGAGTGAAGTGGAGAGGTATAAGGAAGGATGTTGAGACATGATGACACTACCGGTGTGGATACGGTGGTGCCCTCCTGAAGAGACTTGTTGTACGCGCAAGTCGAAACGCGTCGAGGGAAGTGCGTATGAGGGGAGTGCGTATGTAAGGGTGTTTGGCATATAGTAATTTCTTGGATGATTTTCTCATTCATGAGTGTTTTGTGTGCCCTGCTGAGAATTGGTTTTTACCTGTTCGTTGTTAACCCGATTTCTGGGAAGACGTGACGACCAACGAGGTAGTCCGGGAGAGTTGTCACGAGTGGTTATCTGTTACCTATTGGTAACGAGGAACCAGATTCCCATTGTGGCCGGGGGTGAGTAAAGTTGGGAGTGAAGGAGGAGTGACGGGAAGCGGAGTAGAGATGGGGAGATCGCTATCCTTGAAGAGGAGCGTGCAGATCTTCACTGATTTGCGGGGTGTGACGAGGTTTAGGCTGGTCCTTCAACAGATGACTGCTAGTATCTTTGCGCGTTTGAATGTTCCTGATAGACATAGTGGGGTAGTAAGAAGTGGCATCGTGAGTTATTGTTGTTTATGTCGAAGGCTGTTGGGCACACTACTCCGACTGATTCTGCATCCGATTGCCAAGAGGGCAAAACGAGGATCTAGATGGTATAAATGGAAGGTAGTACCTAGTGTGAGCAAGGCATTGCGTGAGTTCGATCGCGTTTGTAGGGTCAGAGGAGACTCGATATCTGCTTTGATTGACGCGAACACGCACACGTTGTGAGATGGCGAACATGGGTGGGATGGGTATGGGGGTAGGAATGGGTGTGCAAGGGATGGTGAGTCCTAACATGGGGAATCAGAATATGAGTCCGACCATGGTTAATCCTAACATGGTCCCGATGGGGTTGGGTGGTCAGCCGAATAGCGCTGCCGCCTCACCATTCGGAACAGTGACTTGCCACATATGTGGGAAAAACGAGCATTATGCTCGTAATTGCTGGCAGGCGCAAGCGGTTGGAAAGCAAAAAATCGATGAGGAGACTTTGGAGATGAAAGAGCTTTTTAAAAAGCTGGTGCAAAAGGAGCAAGAAGAACAGGAGAGGAAGCAACGAGAAGTCGAGGAGGCTAAGAAGGCGGCAGAGGAAAGGAGGGAAGGAGAGAAGATCTGTGAGGAAGAAGCGAGAGAGGTACGTTTGGAAGCTACTATATTGCGTATTTTGGCGCAGAAGCGAGAATCCCTGGTAGCTGAAGTCAAGCTAGTGCATGGCGATGATTCAAGAAAACCGTCACCAAGATCCAAGGCGCGCTTGCTATGCGAGATTAGGGGCTACATAGCGGAGTCAGAGGACGACAGCGATGAAGTAAGACTGGAAGTGGATAAGTTGGTGGAGGTGCTGGAAGCTAGAAAGAAGGGAGGAAGAACACGGTGGTACAGTCGGCGGTACTGGCGACAACCAGCCAGATCGTAAAGAAGAGTCCAGAAGTAAGGAGGGGCAAGAAGAAGGCAGCTGATGCTGCGGCGATCGATGAAGGATTCCTGACACCAAAAACGATGTGCCTGGCCGAATGCTCGAGTGAAGGTTTGGTTGAATTCGCGCTTTCGCAGTCGAAACAGTTAAGAAGCCGCAAAGCGGGGGAAGTCAGGAAGATATGTGATAAAGAAGGAGTTGATTACGTGGTCAAAGGTCAAGCCGTTCAAGAACTCGTACGATGTCGTACGAGACTTGCCTATGAAGGTTTTTTTGAACGAAATGGGCAAACCACTCCGGCTAAGAAATTGACAGCGGAAGGCTTGGATAGTCCGTGAGACGAGGGAGATGCTGACATCGTGTACCGCTATCGCTCGGTTTCGAGTGCTTGTGGAGAAAAGGAGAGGTAGGGATGATGCTAATATGCACCCGTTGTTGAATACAATGGATGAAAACGAGATGGCGTTGTTATTTCTCCTTTTGGCGGTGAGAGGGCTGATACCATGGTTTAAGAAGATGTTAAGATTGGTGGTTCCTGGTCGAATTGATGTCAACTCGTCGGGAGTTTATGCTGTTGTTAGTCCGGTGTGTAGGCGAATGTATATTGGGTGTACGGTAAGGAAGATGATAACGAGATGGGCCGAGCACATTAGGTGTGCGAAGTCGGGAAACGTGGGGAATGCCCCTAGGCTACACTCATGGTTGCGTTTTTTTGGGTGGCATTCTTACGTTATCGTACCGTTAGTCACTGAGGTGAAGGATGGCTTGGATGTTGAACGTGCACTGATTCACAGATTCTCACCATCTCTCAACAGGATTGGTCGAGGAAAGAGTCGTGCAAAAAAGCGACGGAGGAGGACGAGATCGCGCACGGGCGGAGGGAATCAGGAAGGGGGTATTATTGATTTTTTTCATGATAATTGTCGGTATGCATTGTTGGGGGGCCTATTTGATCAGTTGATGGGGATGAAAGGAGAGAATAGCATTGTCGCCAAGGAGGGAAGAATCTGGATTGGATCCTGGAAGGGGATCAGAGAAAAATATGGGGAGACCGTTCTAATCATCAATCTGAGGAGAAAGAAACTGCGTGAAGCAAAGAAGGAGATCGAGGATGGGTGTGTTTTCCGGATTGTAGATCTGATAGCCACTCCTACGGCCGCACAACGGAACAAGAGATTTCTGAGGGACTTACTCGCCCAGCCGTACCGGATAAAAGAGGTGTATAGAATGACTAGTAAGAGACTCGTTGCTCTTTATCGGACTGCCGGTCTTTTTGCTAGAGATACAACACGCAATTTTGTTGAGGAATAAGATTGCGCGAATTATCAAGGATCGTTTCGGGACGGATCTAGACTGGGTAGAGCAATCCGATACATGTTGTTGTGCTTGCCGGGGAGCTACCACTTCAGTGTGAGATGTACTGATGACTTGAAGACAACACTCACTAAAGTTGTGGCCGCGCTAAGCAAGACGGGAGATACGATCGTGGCAAGGTGCTACGACATCAAGGACATGTTCGCAAAACTTCCTCATGAAGACATCGTCTCATCAGTCGCTTGGCTCATAGGGAATCTTAGGCGACGTGGTCTCGTTGCGGTTAAGGTGAGTATTTGTGGCAAATCATGTAAAATATCACGTGCACTGCGGAAGGAGGATGGTTATGTTTGTCTACCATATGATGTTCTGATGGCAATGCTGCGGTACGAACTGGAGCATACATAATACTATGTTTGGGACCTGTGTGTACCAGCAGGTTATACCAATGGGTAAGCATTCATCACCGGCCCTCGCGAACCTGCTATGTGCCAAGGCAGAGTATGACTTCTTGTCTTGCCTGGGGAATGAACGACGCTTCATCTCTGGGGTCAGGATGGTTGATGATGTGTCCGTACTCGTATCCCATCGTACCGATGACGTAAGCACGTATCAGAGGGCGATGCGATTGTTTAACTCATTCATGGAGGCATACCCACCGACTTTGAAGTTGGTAAGGAAAGACGACGGGAATAACGTGTGGGAGTTTCTTGGGTGCAGTCTTCCTGGTTCCTGCTGAACCAAGAATAATGGTGTTTTCCAGGACGAAGAATCAGGCTTGGCTTGTGGAGAAAGACGAACTGCACTTCCACTCCATGCAGGATTATCGGTCGTACTCTGCAAAGAGAGTAAAAGGATGACTTTGACGACATCTATGCTACGGGTATGGAGGCAATCCACTGATGAGGAGGCAGCGGCGGCATCGATCCTATGTTTGGTGAAGGAATCACGCCTCCGGGGTGGGAGTTTCTTGGGTGTAGAGTCTTCCTGGTTCCTGCTGAACCAAGAATAATGGTGTTTTCCAAGATGAAGAATCAGACTTGGCTTGTGGAGAAAGACGAACTGTACTTCCACTCCATGCAGGATTATCGGTCGTACTATGCAAAGAGAGTAAAAAGGATGACTTTGACGGCATCTATGCTACGGGTATGGAGGCAATCCACTGATGAGGAGGCAGCGGCGGCATCGATCCTATGTTTGGTGAAGGAATCACGCCTCCGGGGACACCCCCCGGTGGTCTTCTTTGGCTCCTTGGCAAGATTTGCTAAGGTAGTGGGTGGGCCCTGGAGATCTTGGATCTCACAGGTGTACCCCCACTTCAGGCAGATAGAATCCTGAGATGGGTTTTCATGGGTCTTCAGGGTGTGTAGGAGTAAAGAATGGGGCTGATTTAAGTTTTTCGGATTTTTGGGTACCCCTCATCTCGTTTTTGTACAATGGCTTATCGGGGGGCTATGTGGGAACAGATTCGTGGGAAAGGAAAAAATAAAATAGTCAATAAATAAAATCGTTTTTTTTGTTACCGACACGGAATCCGGTCATTTTGGGCGCAAGGGTACCTTTATTTTGAACCGGGAATGGTACCGGCAGGAAGTGAGGAAGATGGGACAGCCTGTTTTTTCCTTGCTATTTTGGCGCCCTAGTATCTGTATATCTGTAGGAGAGATGAGGCACTGGATCTTTTTTCCAACCGCGACACACTGTGAAGGGCTGCGCTCGAAGTTCCGACTTCGGGCTTCGCCCACTAGCGAAAGATGCGGCGCTACGATTGCTTGATCGCTATGTCACGCAGGTGCAGGATGACGCGCAGAAGATGCTTCGATCAGAGGTTGAGGGATTATGGCCGGGGCGGGGGTGATGAGGGCAGAAAGGAAGGAGAGAGAGTGAAGTGGAGAGGTATGAGGAAGGATGTTGAGACATGATGACACTACCGGTGTGGATACGGTGGTGCCATCCTGAAGAGACTTGTTGTACGCGCAAGTCGAAACGCGTCGAGGGAAGTGTGTATGAGGGGAGTGCATATGTAAGGGTGTTTGGCATATAGTAATTTCTTGGATGATTTTCTCATTCATGAGTGTTCTGTGTGCCCTCCTGAGAATTGGTTTTTTCCTGTTCGTTGTTAACCCGATTTCTTCTTCTTCTTCTTCCTCCTCTTCCTCCTCCTCCTCCTCC